CTGTGCACGTGGCTTCTTCCGTCTGGGAGTTGTCTTTTTCACAGAGGGACCTAAGGGGAGCAGGGAGCAGAGACAGGCCGGCAGCCGGCCATGTGAACTTACCTGGTAGCAGGGGCTGACTTGTTCTGTCACCCGGCTGCAGTCAGAGAACTGAGTCTTTGCCTCTAAGACGTTACTTCTCTCCTCGCCGACGCCGTTGTGGAAATGACAGGAAGTGACTCCATGAAGCTCTTCAGTCTGGTTCTTGGCCTGGGTGGTTAGAACCGAGGAGACGTGGCGCGTACTAACTTTTTTTACTCATCAAATAAATAAATTTAAAAGTGAACAAAAAAGATTAACCCAAAAGTTAAGCGAAGGCAAAATTAACTCGTCCACTTGCTCACCTCAGGTTGCCACAAGTATGTGGCACGGTTCATTCGGGCGCCTAGCAAAGCCCCAGGTCCCCGTGCGGGTGGGCCGGGTGAGTGGATTTGCATCCTAATGGCCTTGTTGTCCTCTTCCTCAGCCACGGCAGCATTCCTGGTGTCTCTGTACATTAAGGACGTCTGGCTGGGGGCCCCGCGGCCAGACACCCTCTTAACCCACGTCCAGATGGTCTGTGATGCTGCAGAGGAAACGCCTAGTGGTGACCAGGAGGCCGTCGTCATGCTCTGCAAGGACATCACTGCCTTGGCCCCAGATGCTTGACACCCTGGCAGCCGGCGCCTCAAGCCCAAGTTCTCAAAGTTCGGGTCATTTTCCATGGAAGGTATTGCAAGTGGCAAGGTCCGTATATTGACTCAGTTTCCTGACAAGAAAAGTCGACTTTATTTAATTGACTGATAATAAACTCAAGGGACTGTGTGTAGAAGTGGTCAGAGTAATAGGGCGGGGTCCTTTGGGGCCACAGGTCCCGTCCAGTGTTCTGTCTGGCTGACCCTCCCTCCCAGGGGTTGTTCTTCAAAGGAAATACCTCAAATTGAGGTAACAGTTCTGAGCACTTAACAGGTTTGTGGATGTTAAAGCTAAAATGTCCAAAAATACGTCAGATGGAAGCATGAAGAGAGTTGTGTAAGGTTTTCTTTCTGTACGAAGTTATGACAAAGCTGTGTAACTTTTTAAAGAAATAAGCTCCTGCCAGTATTTTTTAAATTATTTTATTCAATAAAAGAACGTTATATGAAATCCTTAAAGACAAAATTGATTTGACCTCTGCTTTGAGAAGGCAACCTGTATTTTTTAAATTGTGTTTCAAATCAGGGATTTTGAGTTTTATAACTTTTTAATAAATGTCTATTTTTTGTTAGGTTTTTGTGTTTTGTTTAATCGATGTTAACAGGCTATTTTTATCCCGCAGAGACCTGCATTTTAGAGATCAGAGTTCGACTTTACGATTCCTATATTAATTGCTGTCACAGTTGATGAGCATGGAATATGAAATTTCATGGGTTTCACAGACAAAATTCAGCCTCTTCATTTAGAGCTGTGCACACCCCTCCCTCCCTCCCTCCCACACACCATGACTCCCGGGGTCTACTTGGCCATCATCACATGTTGGCTCAGTGGCATTTCCCGTCTGCCACCTGGGAGGTGGCTGTTTATTTATCCGTATGATATACATAACTTGGTTTATACTAAGAATATAATAGAATGGCTTGATTTCGGCTTCAGCATTACACTTTTGTATACCTCTCGTGTTCTTTAAGTTCTTTTCTGGTTTTTTAAATAACAAGATTTTAAACCAAGACAAGAGTAATGCTTATCTGCATCTAATCTCACTACCACAGATGAGGCTCGTTGTCTGGAAGCGAGGGGCATTCACCTCCCTGCCCCCCACCTGCACACCCACAGCAGTGTTCTTTGAGAATGCTCTGAAGCGGGAAACCTACAGGTAGAGTCAGGTTGGAAAGGCCACACTTTCCCTTCTCGCCCCCTTTCTGCATCTCTGGAGCTCAGTCTCCCCCTTTCCTCCCTTCTAACCCAATGCCCCCTAGACCCGGCCCTCACGGTGAGAGGTTGGTTTTCTCTGCCCTGGTGGGTTTTGTGGGCTCCAAAGTGTGGTGCCATCTCCTTGCGGGCAGCAGGCTGCTGGGTGCGAGAGGACCAGATCCTTTGAAAGCCTCAAGTCAGAGGTCACATAAAGTCACATCCAGGATGGGACCGTCCCCGCCAGCTTATGCTCTCTGACAACATTTGGAGGCAGATTCTCTCCCTTGGGCTTCGGCCCCGCCCGCCAGGCTCGGCTGCTCCCTGCTGGAGAGACACGTCCCCTGGGCTCTGTCTTAGAAAGGCTTCTGGGCGATCAGAAGTGTGGCTTAGGGCCCTTGACCGCCGTCAGCTGGCCTGGCAGGGCACGCACTGCTCCATCTCGGTAATAGTGGGCGTCAGTGGGGGATGGGGACTTCTCGGGTCCTCCCAGAGCACCCGAAAAGTACAGATCAGCCAAGTGAACTCAAGGTCAATAAAATGTTACGGCAGTAATAGTTGGAACTAAAAAGTGGTAAAGAGTGTTTTTTAATCTTAATTTATATATATTTTATTTTTCGGCCCTTCCCAAAACGAATGTACATAGTAAGGAGGTTGAGTGCACTAAATAAAATCCTCAGAGTTTCGGGGTACTTCCCTATGCTAGATGGGCCGTTGCAAGCCTTGGATAAATGCGTGTTTATACATACAAACGTGCCTCCTTGTAGAGTCATTCTTGACCTAGTTGTACTTCCTGCTACATGTAAACAGACTTGCAGAAGGCACATGTGTGTCCAGGTTGGTTTGAGTTGACCAGTTCACGGCAGTGGCCGGCCATGGTTTGCTGGTGTCAGTTCTACAGTCAAGAGGTTCCGTCTCTAGAGGGAGGCTCACTGGTCTTGTTGCCGACATCAGCCACAGGGGTCCCCATCAAGGGCCAGTTCCCAAAGGAGAGCAGGGTGGGCCTGGGGGCGGCGGGGGGTGCAGCAGAGGGGCTCCCCTGCTGCCGCTGCTGGTTGGGGCCAGATGCCATGCTGCCTGGTTCCTTGGCAGAGCTTGGTGGAGCCTGCAGGGTCCCCCGGGGTGTCCTGTGATGCAGTAGGTGCCTCCGGATGCACAGGGGGAGGTCGAGGCAGAAACTCCAGGGGCATGCGGGGTGGTGCTGGACGTTGTTCCTGTGGAGAGAGCAGGTGGGAGGTAGGCATCAAGGCTGGCTGGGGAACAGTCCTTTCTCCGGCTTTCCGGTTGTCCCCTCCTGCCTGTCCACAGCCCGGAGGGAAGGCACCCTGGAGGAAGAGCACCAGGGCCTGGGGAGCAGAGCCCAGGAGAGGGCTCACCCAGCTCACAGACGTCGCCATTGTGGAGAAATGGAAGAGAAGAAGTGCTCGATGGCAACCTGGACCTCAGGTCTTTCCCTCAAGGTCACTTGTCCCTCATGGTCCGTTTACAGCTGACCTGCTATCTATGCACATATTTGAGCACAGCTCATCTCATCTCCATACCTCGAGCCAGCTTGTTTCCTAGCCAGCAATCCGCGGTCCCTGCATGGACTCTCCTGCACTCCAGGTGCTGGGGGCAGTAGACACAGCCACCTGGTGGAGACGGCCACCACAGCCCCCCTGCCTTCAGCTTCAACAGTGAAGCAGGATGCGATTGCCTCATAGGTATCCTTAGGATGAAATGCATTATAGCTGTCCGAGCTAGAGAACTAATTCACATGGAAAAAGCAATTCCTTGGGGAGCAGCTCAGCACTTCTCTTTCCCGAATCTCGCTGAGGACCATGTTGCGCCCCGAGCACCCTGAGCATTTCACACCTGTTACGAGAGCCCGGAGGGCTCTTCCTTTAGGGAGCTGTGTGGCAGGGTGATAGTGTCATATTTGCCCTGTACATTTGTAGCCCAGAAGCTGCACGAGACCCGTCAGCCCAAGCCATGTGTACGCACTGGACTGGGGAACCTTCCACGGGGAGGATAACTGACCTTTCTCGCGAACAGTCCCTAGCACAGGGCTTGTTACAAGTCAACTCAAAAGAGTAGAAGAGAAAGGTGATTCCATTAGTTTATCCCCCAAGTATCTTTTGGGGGTAAAAATCTGCTTAAATTCAATGTGAGTTCTAAAAACCGAAAGTAGAGAATGGATTTCTTCATTCCTCAAAAGCTGGTCCCGCCTCCCATGCTGACCAAAGGGAACCAGAAGTGACCTGGTGAGTGTAGACCTGATGGACTAGAGGCTATGGGCAGGGTGCATGGGAGAGGGCTGTCGAGGAAACAGGCCCCGTGAGGAACTGGCAGTGGGACCCCGTCAGGTGGGGGGCGCCCCTCTCTGCTTCTTTTAGGGGCTCTGAGGCTCTTCATCCCTCACTCTCAGAACAGCTCCGCTCATCCCTCCTTGCCCTCAGCTTCCTGTACCAACTCCTGGTTTCTGCTTCCTAAGACTCCACGGTCCAAACGGCATCCAACGCCAGGATTCCAGGACCCTTCATTGCTACCTGGCCCCAACTCCTGCTAGGCCACACAGTTCAACCCTGGACGGGCCCGCTTTGGGGCAGTTGCCTACTGTGGCAGGGAGAGAGGCGACATAGGGTCTCCTGTAAGAACAGTCACTATAGCAGTTGCTATGGGGTGCAGATGAAGCTCAAAAATCGGATGTGGCGGGCCAATCATGTAGCACCGGAGAATTAACAGATAACAAGCTAGGCTCGAATTACTCTTTGCAGCTGCTAGAGAGTTCACCTTCAGTTTAACCACTAAGGCACGCAGTAGACATTCAATAACA